CATTAAAATCTCTTCACAATTAATTCTCGTTTAATATTAAGTTATTATAACATTCAGACCAATAATTTTAATATTTTACCATTACTAAATAAAATTTTTAAGTTCTCTTTGAACTGGTTTATGTCTCTCAACATGTGAAATATCAAACATGGTACATACCAGTATAGTTCATAATAATAAACAGATATTAATAGACCATAACTTCACTAAAGCATTCAAGAATATATACCTATCTCACCAAAAACATGCCTGTTAAAAAGGGGGCCAAGTTCCAATCGGCTAATTGTTTGCTTAAAAAAGGGTTGAAATCCAATCTAATGCCAAGTTTAGATGCACTTTGAAATCGATCATAATCATCTTGATCAACAGCATGATCCACTGGTAAACATTTGCCATTCCCAAGACTCGCCACCACACCCAGTCCTCCGCCTTCCACATCCAGCCACTACCCGCCACCTTATTCACGTCAACGGTCCATCTGGCCGAAATTCACTTTACCATACACCCAACTTAAAATATGGTATAGTTGTGAAAATACGTAGGTGCTTGGTTAAAAATATCTAAAATTATAATACTTCTAAATTTGAACTTGGCAGGTTAATTTAATTATATAAATAATAAATTAATGATACAATTATTCAAGTGTTACGTACAGCACGAAAACCTTATATATATATATATATACATATAGATATTATTCTATACTTTTGAATTTCAGAAAAACTTTTTGCCGTCCCAATATTTTATCGTCCCGATATTCTTGCATTATTTTTATCTTCATATTATTCTCCTCAAACTCTTTCATTTCATACCCATATCACAGCAGTGCATAAGAAGCGTGTTAAAAAAATTATATATAGTGCACGGCAAGCGCGCGGCCTGTTGTTGGAACTGCTTTAGTACTAGTATATGATTACGTAGGTACAATTTTATCTCTGTACTTGCAGTAGACACTGAGCTACAGGGGGGTCAAAAGTGGGTCGAAACGGTTCGTGTAAATAGTGCACGGCATGCGCGCGGCCTGATGCTGGAACTTGGCCGGTGCACTACCGTGCGCTTAGATACCTTAGTTTTCATATAAACAATTTTTTTATTAAAGAACGCAATCAACGTAATTCTGTCTCTTTCTTTAGGAACCACGAATTTGTATTAAAACTACTATATACATGTACTTTGTATATACAGGGTGACTGGTGAGTTACTATCAATATTTAAGGAGCATACTCGGTACATGATTCTCATTCGAATTATGTAAAAAAAATAGGTACTTAATTTTTGACCAAATTTCCGTATAAATAAATAAAGTTTGGATACGTACTCATCCTTGCCGGCGCCAGTGTGTCGCTACTCCCCAACCCCCGCCCCGTGGCTAGCGGGCCATTAGTCGGCTATTAGTCGCGCCAGCGCCGCCGTAAGGTCCGTACGTTCGTCTTCCCGCGCGCGCGCGCCTAGCGATCGATCTTACGCGTATACCTAATAATAATCTGTCGTGTGTGCGTGTGACCCGTTATTACTTATTAGTAATTAAATATGGCTTTTCAATACACAAATTCAGAATACTTGGCCATGGTTTATGCGTATGCGCGTGCAAATTAAAGCTTGCGGGGCGCAATCAATTTGTACCGGGAGATGTTCCCCAATCGTCGAGTACCTACGGCCAGCGTCATCTTAAACGCTAATCAAAGATTACGAGACTTCGGACAGTTCCGTGTTCCAACACATGCCCAAGGAAACGTCTTGTGTATGCTACAATGTATGTCAACAGAGAGGAGTTGAAATTAAAAATCAATAGTGCTTTCGAAACTATTAAAAGTGACCCATTCGTATTAAATCGTGTGAAAGACAATATGTGTAAACGTGCCGAACTGTGTATCACACGAGAAGGAGCTCGCTTTGAACATTTGTTAAGGTTAGTGTAGTTATGTAGGTAAATAGGTAGTTTAATGATTGACAATTGTTGTAAATAACAATGATTCCATTTTTAAATACGCCGGAAATACCAAGATAGGTAAACAGTTCATATTATTTTTCGTGTCAAGGTCACACCATTTACCTAGTCAATAAATTGGTTGCTTAAACGAAAGAAATATCTTGGTATTTTTGCCTGTCCTAAGCCAGGATTAAAGTATGAAGGGAATTGGATCATTTTTGTTTATCTAAGGTCTAACACGCGGCGGCGCGCGGCGTTTGGATGTAGGTAAACGACCGCGCGATAACTACATATACCTACGTACATAACTGTTTTGTGTCGATAACGCAGCTAGGGTATCCACGCGATCCGTAATTAATTACATAACTTTTGGTTAACTTTACTTAGAAGTTTATTAATATTTATGTTATATTAATTTTTATTTTGTCATATATGATCGTCAACTACCACGTCCTTAAATATTGATAGTAACTCACCAGTCACCCTGTATAGTTGTCTTGCTCTCTCAACATCTGATATATATAAAGAAAACAAGCTCGAGGTTACTACATGTTCTTTCAATTCTGAACAAAGCTTTCTGCACATTCTGTTCTCCTCTTTGTGGTTGTGTCAGTGTCAAACTTGTGTCAGTTGCATTAATTTAATCTACTAAAAACTTGATTATCTTGACCGCGTCCAGGATAAGACCCTTCTATTATGGATCCAAGTTCCTCTCCATACGTCATAAGATCTGTACTGATCTTCTGTACGGTGTTATTCGTTTCTAAGCTACCTTTTACTTTGAAGAAAATTTTAAGTTCTTGCGTTTGTCAGAGGATTTGAGAGATTGGCTTGAGTTAGCGACATACATCCTTATGAAATGAGTAAATTTTATAAACAATGTTTTACAGTTGAGCTGATTTTGGAACTTTCGACTCTTACTATTTTGGACTGTTTAAATCATTAAAGAAATTTAAAGATCCATAAAAAACTATTCAATATTTAAAACTAACTTGAGTAATGACTGGATATTTAATTCCGAGTACATAATTACATTTTTTAATTCCTATACATATAATATTAGTATTTTATATTAATATCTTTTGGATTATATCTTACTTCCTGAAACTTCTTCTTCTTCTTCTAATTTCCCAGGTTTAGCCAGGGTATGCCTTACATGTTGTGAATAGTTTTGGCTAATTGTTTTTACGACCGGCCGCCTGCGTGAGATCAGGCCTCTTTGGGAATGTATTAATCAGTGATGTCTAAATACTCTTACTAAATTATCTTACTTCCTGAAACTATGTGTATGTATAGTGTTTAGGTATTTCTGACTTATTTATCAACAGTATTTTTTTCCCCAAAAGTTTTAAAACCTACAGCTACTTCATTTAAATATATTTTCTCTAGTTATAGGTTGACTGGATGAAATCGCCACAAGAAAATAAGTCGCCTTTGTTTCAACCATTCTCCAACTCTTTTTTTTTCTCTGTTTTATGTTCAATGAAGAATAATATACATAGAATATAGAAACAAAGAATTCTTATACAGAAAAGACTATATATGTATATTTAATTTTTGTCTAATTTTATCTAACACTATTTGTTATGTCGTTAAATTCCTTGAATCTGCTCAGATTAATACAATGATGTGAAGCTATCATAGTTCTCTTAGAAATGTTTTGGCAATCTTTAAATGTAGGCACTTACAGATATCGAAAAGTCAAACTTCATAATTAAGAGGTCATTGGGAGTTACCCATCATTAAAATTATCATTATGGCTTGTGGAGTAAAAATAAATATTATATACGAGTATATGCGGGTGTGTGTGTGGTTGCCTACCCTGTTCTTGTAAAATAACATTAATTAATATTTTGTATGTTATTAAAATTGAAACCTAATTCTCGTACATATTAATCTATTGAAGACATATTTGAACTTATGTTCTGTATGAACTTATTATTCATTCTTGCATCGTCGTTTAAACATTGAACAGAGAGAAGCACTGTGGAGTGCCATTTTTTAGTAATAGACATTCCATGCAGGTGGACGAACTATTTGGCTTCTTTCTTCATGAGCAAAGTGGTGACAATTCAGTCAATGGTGGCCTAGTGGTTAAAGGGCCCGCCTCTCGTTGCCGAGGGCGCGGGTTCGATCCTGGCAAGTACCAATGTGATTTTTCCGAGTCATATGTACTTTCTAAGAGTATTTAGACACGACTGACAGACGGTGAAGGAAAACATCGTGAGGAAAGCTGGACTTATAATTTCACAATAATAAGTTTGTAATCACCAACCCGCCTTGAGCAAGCGTGGTGATTAATGCTCAAACCTTCTCTGTGTTAGAAGAGGCCTTTGCTCAGTAGTGGGCTCTGATAGGCTAAAAGAACAGTGAACTGTGTTGTCTTCCAGTTATAATTTGAATGTGTTCAACACTAGAGTGATTATGTTGTTACTGAGTTAGTGCGTTTACAACCCAAGGTTTCAAATCCGGTTACCATCAGAGGGAATGACAGTCAAGCATTAATAAAACAATTAGTTTACATCATTTCCTCGTTGTGATATCTAATATATCCTTGATATCTTCTGGTAATTAATCATTGTCACAATATTTTCAGTGATGCATGCATAAAAAACATTGTGTTTGATTGTTTCAAAGTTTTATTCTTTACAGTACATACATTATTTAATGTTATTTTTAAAGATCTATTACGATTTACAACTAATATTTTATATAATATGCGCAGTCTAATATGCGACAACTGACAAAAGAAAAAATACGATAATTGCATAATGATTTCATTTCCTTCGCTTAACTCACAAGGTACATTAAGATACGGTTCAAAGTATTTCCTTTAGATCTGACGTGTAATTAATATTGCTGATTAAAATTTTGTTATTAATTGTAAAATAAAAATAAGGTCCGTCGTCGTTGAAGATAATATGATGCGAGTTTTTAAACAACAGTAAGTTATATGAATATTTTATTTACCCTTATCTCAAAGCTATGTATATAAGTGGAGTCTGTCCCGTCTGTTCTCACTCCTCAGTCACAGTCCTCACAGAGAGTGTCGTTCCTACATCAAGTCACAATGAGGTTCATGTTCCTGTTCGTGTGTGTTCTCGCGTTGGTCGCCTCTGTGTATACAATGCCCTGGTGAGTCTCTGTTCACATACTGTAATAGTATAAAATACCGTAATAGTATTATATATTAAAAAGACCGTAGTGTAGCCCGTGTATATAAGATATGTTAAGTTTTGTATTGTTTTTTAAACAGTTGGGACTATAGCTGTTCGGGAAGCGGTTCTTCTGGTGGATTTGCGGAACAATATAGTTACAGTGCCAGTGGACAGAGAAGTCAGGGTGGTTATGATGGTGGTAACTACGACAACGGTGGATTATTCGGTGGTAGTGGCGGCTACACTAGGGATGGAGGTCAAAGAACTGGCGGTGGTAGCGACTATGGCAATAGAAGGTATGTATCACGTTTAATAAAATTAAATAGTAAAAAAATATTCGATCTATTTTTAATATTAACTTATTTGATTCCAGACAACGCAACTGTCCGACATGCGGCGTCAGTAACTTCGGCAATGGGAATCACAACCAGAATAAGATTACCGTAAGGAGGAACTATGGTTAATTGTTGTTAAACATAATAGTCATTCATGAGTTTTTGAAATGGTTTTATATAAAGCTTCTTCACTTAACTTATGATGACTTCTGTAGCGTAGCTGGTACTATGAATGTGATTAAATAAATTACGAATACACAGATACTGTACACGACTCTGGTAATTACTGCCCGCCTCATATAATAGATTTAAAAGTTGCATTTATTACGTTTATGATATAAATAAATATAGTAATAGTCGACATATATTTTAAATGTTTAGTTTATTAAATATATTGTATTTTTTTAATAAAAATAAAATAATATTTCATTTATCACGTCTTTAACTATTAATCTTACTGTCCCTATTCAAACGAGGTTTGTGTGTATAAAACTTTTTAGATTAATTATTATCTATAGATAAACATTAATAAATAAATAATGCGGAATTAGTTTAAGATGTTATTAAAAATCAGTCTTTAATTATTAGAAAAATAAAACATCTAAAATCTGACTGAATATGTCGGTCTACCTGAAAGCAGTTTCCGTTCTAACCAGTTCGGCTCCATCAAATGTGTGAGGATTGAATTAATGAGAGATTATCCAAAAGGTATTTTCATTTGTCCAAAACAAAAATAACTGTTTATTTATAACTATACTCTTCTGTTATAATGTTGTGGAGATAAAATTTAGAGGATTTATTAGCTATTTCAAAATTATAGTACCTCCATCCTTAAACTGCTTAAGTTAAGTTGGCGAAATTCATTTCTATGTGGAACTTTTGTGAGAAAGTTATCCGAGAGCCATCCCTTTCTTATATTAATAACAGGGTTATCATGACATAGGTGGTGTGTCAAACTGACATGAAGATGACTCTTATTTTGGAACCTAGAAAAATGTTCATAGGAGAAGGATAAATAGTTAAAGTACTTTTAAATTTTGTTGAGTATCTGGTCTGACGCTGGTTATGACTTGTGCTTTCCAAATATTAGAAATTAATATTAAATAGAAGTCATAATTTAAAGTCATACGTCCCTTTTTAGATTGTCACGATCAAAATATATTTTAGAAGCAGGCGTAAATTATCTTTACTGGTACGCTGTAAAGTGTATGTTGGATAAAAAAATAGGATTGAGTCGGTGAAAACTTATGGAACATTAAAAATGAAATATCGAATTAAGATAGATAAGATAAGATGACATCGTGATCTTTGAAGTTAACTAGGACTATGTTTTCCTAACTCAACCTGAATAATTTAAACATTTACTTAATTATGAGATTAATATCAATGTATTATTTAAATAAGCATAAATGTAATATGGGATTCGCTTTTTAATTTGCATTTCATTTCTTTATTTGATTGTTTTACATTATTTATTTGTCATTGTAAGTGTAATTTTATAACATCGTGCATATAAAGTTACAGTATGCAATTAAACCTTTATTATGTAATTAGTTATTAGATTTTAAGGTGGTAGAGCCTAGCTGTGGTCAAGTGATTTCAGCTCGAACATGGGCTGGCTCGAGCGGGGAGGTACCACCCTCTCACAGAAGATCGGCGTAAAGTAGCCTAGTGGCTGCGTTTCGTTCGATGAGTGAGAGAGCCGGTTGCCCTTTCCCTTTTCCCATCCTTTCCTACCCCTTCCCTTTTTCCTCCCCTTCCCATTTTTCCTCCCCCTCTTCTCAAATCAAGGGTGGTGACACATCCGCAACATGTCTTATGTCGCGGATGTCCATGGGCGACGGTACTACCTCCATCAGGTAGGCCGTCTGCTCGGTTGCCCCCTTTACCATAAAAAAAAAAAAAAAATAGATATATTAAATAAATAAAATAATAAATTAATTTGTTAAATTTATTTTATTTACACTTTAAACTTAAAAATATATTCCGAGTAACATCACAAACTTAAAATTATTAAATGTTGAATGGTAGAAATGGTAACATTGAATACATAATACTTGTATTGTGTTATATTGGTAATTTGTATGAAACATGTTCCCAGTAACAGTAACATAAGATGAAGTCATTACAGAGTATGTGAAGACTCTTCATATAATACGATTCCTTATATCCTGACCACCAGCTACATGAAGAACACTTAACCATGTGTTTTGATGGTAATCTTATTAGCGTTGTGATCTCCATTGCCGAAGTTTCTGGGGCCGCAAGTTGGACAACCACTGTGGATAAAAAACATAACTGTATAATAACAAGTCATATAGAATTTTGTTTTAGAATTAATTCATTAAATTTATAACTACCCGCGGCCACCACCTCCTCTGCCACCACCTACTCTGCCACCACCCCTACCAGACCTAAAATTAGACACTCCTATATTAAGACATGCTTCAAATATATGTACCTTCTACATATACTATTAACAGAGACTCACCAATCCCTTCTCAATACTGTATTGTGTACAGAGGCGATCAACGCGAGAACACACACGAACAGGAACATGAACCTCATTGTGACTTGATGTAGGAACGACACTCTCTGTGAGGATTGTGACTGGTGAGTGAGAACAGACGGGACAGACTCCACTTATATACATAGGTCTGAGATAAACATTGATTAATAATATAGATCACACGTAAAACTTCCGTCTGTTTAAAAACCCAAGTCATATTATCTTCAATGATCATGTACGTATCTTTTATTGTAACAATTCATTAAAATCTCTTCACTATTAATTCTCGTTTAATATTAAGTTATTATAACATTCAGACCAATAATTTTAATATTTTACCATTACTAAATAAAATTTTTAAGTTCTCTTTGAACTGGTTTACGTCTCTCAACATGTGAAATATCAAACATGGTACATACCAGTATAGTTCATAATAATAAACAGATATTAATTGACCATAACTTCACTAAAGCATTCAAGAATATATACCTATACCTTAGTTTTCATATAAACGATTTTTTTATTAAAGAACGCAATCAACGTGAAATTATTGAAGTCAGTGACGTCATAATTCTGACTCTCCATACGTCATAAGATCTTTTTCTTCTGTACGGTGTTATTCGTTTCTAAGCTACCTTTAACCTTGAAGAAAATTTTAAGTTCTTGCGTTTGTCAGAGGATTTGAGAGATTGGTATGAGTTAGCGACATACATCCTTATGAAATGAATAAATTTTATAAACAATGTTTTACAGTTGAGCTGATTTTGGAACTTTCGACTCTTACTATTTTGGACTGTTTAAATCATTAAAGAAATTTAAAGATCCATAAAAAACTATTCAATGTTTAAAACTAACTTGAGTAATGACTGGATATTTAATTCCGAGTACATAATTATTAATTATACATATTTTTTAATTCCTATACATATAATATTAGTATTTTATATTAATATCTTTTGGATTATATCTTACTTCCTGAAACTTCTTCTTCTTCTTCTAATTTCCCAGGTTTAGCCAGGGTATGCCTTACACGTTGTGAATAGTTTTGGCTAATTGTTTTTACGACCGGCCGCCTGCGTGAGATCAACCTTCTTTGGGAATGTATTAATCAGTGATGTTTAAATACTCTTACTAAGTAATCTTACTTCCTGAAATTATGTGTATGTATAGTGTTTAGGTATTTCTGACTTAGGTATTTATCAACAGTATTTTTTTCTCCACAATTATTTTAAAACCTACAGCTACTTCATTTAAATATATTTTCTCTAGTTATAGGTCGACTGGACGAAATCGCCACAAGAAAATAAGTCGCCTTTGCTTCAACCATTCTCCAACTCTTTTTTTTCTCTGTTTTATGTTCAATGAAGAATAATATAATAATAGAAACAAAAAATTCTTATACAGAAAAGACTATATATGTATATTTAATTTTTGTCTAATTTTATCTAACACTATCTGTTATGTCGTTAAATTCCTTGAATCTGCTCAGATTAATACAACGATGTGATGCTATCATACTTCTGTAAGGCCTCGGCCTCGAATTTTGCGGGCAGCGGAGCGGCAGCGGGAGCGGCAGGATCTTAAGCGTATAATCAAATGGACCGACCCTCGAATGCAGCGGTGCCCGCTGCCCGCTAGTTTGGAGTAGTATGCGTTGCCTTGCCGCCGCCGCCGCCGCTCCGCTGTCCGCAAAATTCGAGGCCGAGGCCTTAGAAATGTTTTGGCAAACTGTAAAATATGTAGACAATTACAGATATCGAGATGTCAAACTTTATAATTAAGAGGTCATTGGGAGTTACCCATCATTAAAATTATCATTATGGCTTGTGGAGTAAAAATAAATATTATATACGAGTATATGCGGGTGTGTGTGTGTTGCCTACCTGTTCTTGTAAAATAACATTAATTAATATTTTGTATGTTATTAAAATTGAAACCTAATTCTCGTACATATTAATCTGTTGAAGACATATTTAAACTTATGTTTGATATGAACTTATTATTTATTCTGGCATCGTCGTTTAAACATTGAACAAAGAGACGCACTGTGGAGTTCCATTATTTGGATATAGACATTCCATGCAGGTGGACGAACTATTTGGCTTCTTTCTTCATGAGCAAAGTGGTGTCAATTCAGTCAATGGTGGCCTAGTGGTTAAAGGGCCCGTATCTCGTTGCTGAGGGCGCGGGTTCGATCCTGGCAGGTACCAATGGGATTTTTCCGAGTCATATGTACTTTCTAAGAGTATTTATACACCACTGACAGACGGTGAAGGAAAACATCGTGAGGAATTGCTGAACTTATAATTTCACAATAATAATTTTTAAATCACCAACCCGTCTTAAGCAAGCGTGGTGATTAATGCTCAAATCTTCTCTGTGTTAATAGAGGCCTTTGCTCAACAGTGGGCTCTGATAGGCTAAAAGAAAAGTGAACTGTGTTGTCTTCCACTTATAATTTGAGTGTCTTCAACACTAGAGTGATTATGTTGTTACTGAATTAGTGCGTTTACAACCTAAGGTTTCAAATCCGGTTACCAGCAGAGGGAATACAGTCAAGTATTAATAAAACATTTAGTTTACACCATTTCCTCGTTGTGATATCTAGTATATCCTTGAT